AACAACTTATTTCTTTGGTTTGAGATAATTACTCAAAACTTAGCTTAAAAGCTCTCTTGGAATCGATGTTCCCTTTTCTTTCTCAAAATGTGAAAACATTTTCAAACTTCTTGGAAATACTTAGTTCCCATATACTTCTTTGAAGAAAATGAACTTTACTCTTACTTTTTACTCAACTTCAATGCTTAAGTCTTAAAACAAAGTTTAAACATTTGTAAAAGACTTCTTAAAAAAGATGGTTCACGCCGAATTATGGACTTGAACGACTCAATGCAAGATTTTTAATAACCGTAGATAGAACTCAATACTTGGAACTCAAGAACTTCAATGATACTACTCATCTCTAGAATACTCAACTCAAAGAATTCATGTGGAATTATGAGCATGAACTACTCAACTTAAGGACTCAAAGATAGTTCTCATCTCAAGATTGTTCGACTTATAAGGTTCATGCCGAATTATGGGCATGAACAATTCAACTCAAGGACTTCATGGGTAAGATGTAATAGTCTCATGATTAGAAATATAATCTCAAAGGGGATTGAGAACTCAATACTCAAGACTTAGAAGTTGAAGGTATTACCTTTCTCAATGATACTCAATTTATAGAGTTCATGCGGAATTTATGGGCATGAACGACTCGACTAGAAGGTCTACAACCTACATGGAACTCATGTATACGACACTTCTCATTCTCTTACTTACTACCTCAAGACTTAGTTCAAATCGATGGTTGATCTCAAAGGATTCACAATTGAATTCAATGGCTTTCTTGAACTCTAATTTTAATTATCTCTTGAATATGAATTTTGAATTCAAGAGTTATGGTTCACGATATGAAAGATCTCATTATGACAAAGTAGACTCATGAGTACATTCTCCTCATCCTCACACTCACTTGCTCGAGTCCTGAAACAAGTTACTAGAAGTTGTAGAAGACTCCACAAAAGGACTCAAAGGGACTTTCTTAGAATGTTAGAAAAAACTCTCAAAACTTAACTCTTAGCTCTACCTTGAATTTGAATTATGAATTCAAGGTTATGATCATGTTATGAATGATTTCTAGCTGTTTAGAAGTAGCTTAGAGTAGTTAGAATCGAAATGGAGTGAAGGTGCACTTTAAACGAAACGGGGTAACCGACGACAAACTGGATGGGGCAGGCGACCCTGGCGCTATGGATGGCGCGGGGCACCAGCCCCTAAACTTCAGAGGAGGGTTTGGGGCTCTCTGGCTAGCGCATCGCGCCAGGCCCCAACCCAGAAAATCCAACGAATTTCCTTGCTCGTTTTCTCACCCTAACTCACCTAGAATCGAACGGTTTCTTCCCCAATCACTTGGATTCGATTACTTAGCATAAGTACACTCTAATATACTCAAAACAACACTCAAATTACTAAATTTCATCCTAAAAAAATCATCTAAACCCCAACACAACAAGATTTAGAATGAACTTCAAGAACACCTATCAAGAACTCATCAAGAACTCTAATCTTTCAATTGCAAGAATGAAATTTCGTTGAAAATAACATGATTGGCGTGTGGGTGAACTAACCCAACACTTTGGAAGTTTACATACCTCTTAGAGATCAAACCCATGGCGAAAATCCGCTACAACACACAAGAATCTCGACTAATACTTGATCCTCTCCTCTTTTCTCCTCTTTTCTCTTCTTGAACTCTCAACTAAAACCTAGGTGTATTTTAGAATTATAAAATTGAACCTAATAGGATTAGACCCTTAAAACCTTACTAAAAACAAATTAAATCTGATTTGGTAAGAAAAAGACCAAAATACCCTTTACTATTTTCGGCTAACTTTCCTTAACTGGACAACCTAACTTCAAAAGGCCATATCTTACTCATCCGACCTCAAAACTTAGCAAACTTGGCGGCGTTGGAAAGATAATTCAAAGATATTTCCTACGGTATCTTGTAGAACATCTAAATCATCCTATGCTAGTAGTTATGATCATTTCAAGTTGACCCAAAACTCATAACTGAAGCATAACTTGCAAAATTTCAGATTTTGCTATTTCCAATTTAGTTCTTTTTTGAACTCAAGGTGCTACATCTAGTGAACTTAACACTTAAGAAATTTTAATTCCTCGGTAAAATCCTACTCACAATGAAGGATGGTTCGAGTCTTAATTCAAAAAATTTCTAGGGTGTTACAGGTCGTTTGGTAAAGTATATTTGAAAAAATAATGCATGCAGTTTTTTTTTTTTTACCGTCCCTAGGAGCTCCCACCCCTTTTTCTCCCTTGGTGACTCGAACTCGCAACCTTCGGGTTGGAGGTAAGGGGTGCTTACCATCCGAGCAACTCCCTCTCGTCAATAAGCATTAGCTTTGTGTATTAGTAGTTTTTTTGTTTGGTATGCTTTTTCATGCTATGTTAACATTAGTTATACATTCTATTGTATATTGAGGAGTGCATTACTAATACCATGGATTTTTAGGTAGTAGTAATGCAAAGTGATTTAATACATGTATTAGCATGGTTAAAGACCCAATTAACCCTCAAAAACACTTTTACATCTTTTCCACCATAATTGTGGAGGATATTTTGTAAATGAATATTTTTATACAATGCATACTATTTTTAATACACCAAATCAAACAATGCATAAAAAAAAAATTATGCATAACTAATGCAAGCATAACTAATAATACAAGTATTACTAATACAAGCATTACTAAAACACTCTATTGAGCATTATTTTTATACACTCTAATACTTGTGGTTATTCATATTTTATGATGGATAATATAAATTAATTTGGGAAAATAACATAGTTAAGCAAACATATATTAGTTAATTAGTTATCATAGCTATAGTTTTAGTTAATTACCACTCGCGACCAACATTCAATAATAATTATGTGGGGATGGGGTTTCGAGTTTGTATAATTTGGAATTTGTATAATATAATTTGTATAACTTTTGTATAATGTAATTTTGTATAATATAATTTGTATAACTATTTAAAGTTCAGATATTTGTGTTTGTATAAATTCGTTATTTCGAGTTTATACAAAAATAACTCAATTATACAAACGTAGCCGTGAATTATACAAACGAGACAGCTTAAACTGTAGCTACAACTTGTAAATATGCAAACTATAACTATGGAGCATAATTAAATTTATTATAGTGGTTATTTGCGTAAATTCCCTAATTAATTTTTACTTAACCTATTATCAAAATGGCAAATAGCAACTATTTTACTACCTTTAGGCTCTAGCCGTACGTCAAGTGATCAATACTTTGTACTCTCTTAACTCTCTCTTTTTTGGGATTTTCATCCAATGTCCGGTATTCATATTCGAGCCCGACTAAATCCGAATTCGCGTCGAAAAGTTCCACATTAAACGATAAAACGCTTTCTAACAAAAGGAACTTTGTACCCAAGGGGGCTCGAATCCAGGACCTCTTGGTTAAAGATATCCGTCTAATATGAGACAAAGAGAGTATTCTAAAAGTTAAAAAATAGTTGGACCCCAAAACCTTAAATGAAATGTGGTGGGTGCTTTGAGGTACGTGTGAGCATGGCAGTATATCCTTTGTTGCGTTCACAATTAATTTATTTGATTATATAGCAGTATATGTCTCCATCTCATATTTGTCCTTTTAAAATATGAAACCTCTTCCCTAGAAGGGACTGTATTTGCTATCAATTTCAATGTGAGTATTTAATAAATAGCTCACTCTTTTTAAAATGTGTGCCTTTATTTGACATGCATATATGTTCTAATTAGGACTATCTTATAAATATATTTTTTTTATTTGGGGATAGAAAAAGGAGAATGGAGAGGAAATTACAAATTGGGAATCGAACTGTCATTAGATGATTTATTTATAATTATTAGAAGCGATATAATATGTATAAGAATTATTTTCTTTCTGGATTAAAAACAAGTATAGAATGCATTTTCTTTATGTGCCTTGATTTTGAACTCATTGTATAGGAGGGTGCTTACATTTCTCTTTTTGTGAGCTTACATTGATTTCTTGATGAATAAATGCATCATCTTTATTAGAGACGAATGGAGCAAAAAGGTAGTAAAATTATCATTTTACTTATTATTTTTTTAAGAAATTATCAAATCAAACATAGACAAATAAACTTGAACGAATAAAGTATAGAAGTGTCTAAATACATTGTAAGCAGTTCAATTCTATAGATTAAGGCAGAGAGTAAAACTTAGAGCATGTTTGAATTGGCTTAAAAGAACTAATTTTAAAATAACTTAAAATAAATTAAAAATAAAAAATAGTACTCGTCCCACATTTTATTTTAACTTAAAAATCATTTAATTTTAATTTAAAAAAATTACTTTATAAAAGCTATTTTTTAAAGTCGATCCAAACGAACCGTCAAACACACATCTCAAAAATGTTTTTGTATTAGGTGCATAAAACTAAGGGGAAATTAAGGTGGACATGGGCAGTCATGAAAAAGAATGGGGCTAACCAATGCTATGTTCGTCAAACTTTTATTTTCTATTTTTCCTTTAATTTGGTGGAGTTTGGATACGTATGTGTTATTTCCATAAGATATACCACACACAATGATAATTTTACGATTTCACACGTATTTATTACTATCTAAATATTGATAAATAAATATTATTTAAAAAATAAAATAAATATAAAATGATAAATTATCACTTTAGTTTTTCAAATTAGATAAGTAAAGATAAATCGAGAAAATACATAGAAAGAAAATTGCATTAGATGGAGTTGCTCCTCTCTTGATCATAAGTGACATAGCGAGACCATATTGTGATGGATGTGGCTTTTCAGAGGGCCAGGAATCGTAGCGTGGTTCAATAAAACTTGCGCACGTAACAACTTAATTTTGACTTCATAGCCAGCGCGCGGCACCTCCTTAATTATGTTCCAACATTGGAATTAACCCCAACTCCCAACTAATTCTCTCATTCCTTCATTAATTAGTTTACTTTCTATAAATACCCAAAGTTCTCACTAGCTTTTGTACCCAACACTCAAGCAAATACATTTGTAGTCCATAAAACTTCTCTACTATTTCTATCTTTTCTCAATTTTTGTAACAATGGAAATGGTTAGCAAAATTGCATGCCTTGTTGTTTTGTGCATGATAGTGGTTGCACCCCATGCAGAGGCACTAAGCTGCGGCCAGGTTACATCTGGCTTGGCTCCTTGCCTCCCATATCTCCAGGGACGCGGCCCTCTAGGAGGGTGTTGTGGTGGAGTTAAGGGTCTGTTGGGTGCAGCCAAGACCCCAGCGGACCGAAAGACAGCATGTACTTGCCTCAAATCAGCCGCTAGTGCTATTAAAGGCATTGATGTGGGCAAAGCCGCTGGTATCCCTAGTGCTTGTGGCGTAAACATTCCTTACAAGATCAGCCCTTCCACTGACTGCTCCAAGTATGTTATTCGTCTTCTTTCCACTATATCTATAGTTTTTGACGTCAATATAATATTTTTTTATAGTCTCATAGTATATATGTCTGATTGATAAAATCATGTCTAGTAGTAAAATTATATGGTCTAACATGTTAATTACAAAATGATGTGTATATACTCGCATCGCATATATACTATCAATATATACTATCAATTTGTTAATGTTGGTTTAATATGGTATTGCAGGGTCCAGTAAAGTTGACGAAAGTTCAATTTTCCAAGGCATAACTTGGTAGTAATGTAATCTAGCTTGCGGAGAAAAATAAGATGGATATATCGATCGATCGAGTTTAATCCATCATTTTATATGTTGTCTCTTTTCTTTTGTATTTGTGTTTGTTGGAGTACTTATATATAGTTGAGTACATGTAATGAACCTTGGTGGTTGGTTGTATTACAACCCAATCTTCATAGTAATATATACATGATATATTCTACTTTTTTTCTTTCTTCATGCATTTGCTTTTACTTTTATTATCGATGGTTTAAAATTATTTACACAATCAATCAACTGAGATAACTTGTTTACACTAATTTTGAGTTGGTTAGTATTTGAGAAATTTCACCAAAGTGTGAGCATATAGGTATATGTAATTAAATGCACAAGGAAATTTTCAGGCTATTTATATTGAATCTTTCTAACAACATGCAAAATGTTGGATAAGTGGTCCAAAGACATTCAAACCCCTACATCCAAGGTTTCAATCGATATTTGGTATTCATATTGGTACCCAATCAAATTCGAATTCTATTAGGTGAAAAGCCCCACATTATAATGAGATAAAAGAATCTCTAATAAAGGTGACTTTGTACCAGAGAAAATTCATATTCAAATCTTTTGATTAAAAATATATAAACACATATTACTATACCATAATTTCTATTGGTCGTTGAGAGATTGAAGAGTTAATAACTTTGATGGTTACTCAACTATCAACTTTTTTCACAGAAAGTCACTCAACTTTCATTTTCAACTCAAAAGTTACTCAACTATGACTTATTTGCATAGAAAGTCACTTAGCCTATTTAATTATTTTTTTCACTAAAATTTGCTGACATGGAATTTTTATTTTAACCAAAATTTTAGAACCAAATGCATATTCATTTAAACCATTTAATGACCCGCCCCATTTAATTCGACCCGCTAAAATTTTTATTTTACCATTAATTCCCTAAATCATTTTCTCTTGTTTCCTTCTTTCTCCTAGCATTCTTCTTCTCTTTTCTTTTCCTTTTAATTTCTCAAAAGCAAGACAAGATTATAAGAGTTGCTCTTTTTTGTGTTTTTTTTTTTGTTTTGTTTTGCATTCTAATTTCTTGCCGTAATTAATCTTGACTTCTTTAGCTATCAAGAAGTCTAATAATTTACAGCTCCAACTTTTTTTTATATATATATTAATGGAATGAAACCTTTTGCCTATATATCTTTTCTTCAATCTCCAACTACCAAAATGATCCAACTACTCAGAATCTCTTTTCCTCACCACCATTATATGTATTCATTTTCTTCATAATATTTCGAATTTTTTTACCAAAGTAAGCCATTATTAAAATCAATTTATCAAAATAATACATTTTTTTGAAATTTTACAAAACTAGTATAAACGTAGTTCTCAGTAACGTTTTAGGTTATATTTTATTCAAAAAAAAGTCAATAACAAAAAGACAAAAATCTGACATAGTAAATAGACATAAAACGTTATTGTCAGTAACGTTTTATAATTCGTTACTCTGAGTCACGTGTTACAGCTAAAACATAATTCACGATAACGTTTTTATGGAATATATAATTTTCTCTTTTCTTCTCTTTTCATTCATAGATACTACTTTTGCAAGAAAAGGAAGAGTGAGGAGGGCTTTTCTATAATATTAATTAATTCTTTTTTAATAGTTATTTTGCTTACTTATTAGGGATAAGGGTCTGAAAAAGACTTCAACTTTGGTCGAATTTGCTGTTGCGATACTAAACTTTCATGCGGACCTATTACCTCCCTAGATTATTTAATACCGTATTATAAACATATATATTTGCCCTCGTGGACATAAAAAATAATGTAAAATTATAAATAGTAATGTGTCCACGTGGGCACATATATACCTTTAAAATACACTATTAAATAGCTCAGGGGGTAAACAATATGGTATTAAATAGTCTAGGGAGGTAATATATCCTTATGAAAGTTTAGTGTCGCAACAACAAATCCGACCAAAGTTAGGGTATTTTTCAAACCCTTATCCCTACTTATTATATTTTTTCCCTCAAAATCCACCTCAATGGTGGGGGGTTAGGCAGACCCCTACCTGTTCATTCCATCAGCAAAAGAGAGTTACAAGGAATGGAAGATAGTCCTTCCTCTATGGGGGTTAATAAAGATGAATATTTTATCCTTGTACAAAAAGTGCCCTATAAATAGACTATAAGTTTGGATGTAGCTTACTTATTACGTCAATTTAATTCAATAGTTTCTTTATTGATAGTCTAATAATTAATAATCATAAGAAACCGAATGATCTAATATTTGGAAGGATGATATCTCAAGCTAGAAGAAGATCTCTCATATAATTTATTTACAAATTTTGAAATTGAAATGATACAAGAAAAGCTCCAATTTGGGCAAAGTCTTCCTCATTTTTTTTTTCCTTTTGTTTAAAAAAAATATTGTCTATGTAGAAAAGAGAAAGAAAAGAGAAAATCATATATATTTCAAGTGAAGGTATGTACAAAATATATCTATCTATTTTAATAGTGGAAATTTGAATAATGAATGAGGCATGTACAAGATTGAGTTTCAATTTTCAGCCATTCTAGAGAAACGTTACCGTGAGTTATACGTTTATACTAGTTTTGTAAAATTTCAAAAAAACATATTATTTTGGTGAATTGATTTTAATAATGACTTACTTTGGTCAAAACATCTAATATTTCCTAACTTTCTTTATTTTGAAGTTATGTGTTGTGGGGTGCATTGTAATTCTCAAAAGATCACACCAAAACTCTCATTCAATCATAATAACTTGACAAAAGACCTTCTTTCCACTTAATGTTCATCCATCCATCTCTAAGTATTTAGCTTTCTCCTCTTCACTGGACTACTATGCGATGAATTCGACCGCGACTCAACTCCTGAGCCATCAATTCTGTAACTTAAACATGTTGCATCCAACACACCAAGTGGACTCTGAGGAACAGATGGAATTGAAGAAGCAATTGAATATTGTGTACTTAAATCTAGATAAAACGAAAGGAGGAATTCATTATAAATTCCTACTTAATAGAGATTTTGAAATTGAGAAATTAAAAAAAGAAGAATCCTTAGGAGAAAGAAGGAGACAAGAGAGAATGATTTGGGGAACTAATGGTAAAATAAAAAGGTCAATATCATATTTTTAGTGGGTCGGGTTAAATGAGGCGGGTCATTAAATGGTTTAAATGGATATGTATTTGGTTCTTAAAATTTTGGTTAAAAATAAAAATTCTGTGTCAGCAAATTTTCGGGAAAAAAATAATTAAATAGACTGAGTAACTTTTTATGCAAAGAAATCATAGTTGAGTGACTTTTGAGTTAAAAATGAAAGTTGAGTGACTTTCTATGAAAAGAGTTTATAGTTGAGTGACCATCAAGGTTATTAACTCATAGATTGAATAACGAAAAAGGACTAACTTATGCAATTTTTCCTATAATATGTCACCATATAAATTATGTCCTTGTATTAAAAGTTGTGCAAATGTTACTTATGAAAAATTATTCGTAAGATACAATCGACAGATGATCGAGTTTCTCAGTGCAACTCTACCAAAAAAAAAAAAAGATACTACCCTCTGATGTTTGCTCTACTCTACAGAAAAAATATTTGCTCACAAAAATATTTTTCATAAATACGATTGGAAAGATGTCTAGTAATTTTATGGCCTAACCCATCGGTGGCCCCTTGAATTTGGCACGAAGTTTCAGTTAGCCACCTCAACTGGACGATGTTTATTTTAGACACCTCATGTACGGTATCGCTATATCATTTAGACACTTTTTTTCCAATCAACAAAAATATATGAAGTGTGTGTATTACACTCACGAATGACGTGTAAAGTGACAAATTAAACGATGACATTTGTCATTTGTGTCAAAAACAATTCTTAAACAATAAATTTTGAGTAAAAATAAAAAGTAACCAATGAATCAATGACATATGGATTTTTGCCCAAATAATTTTTTTTTAAAATTTAGCCAATAAAATTCCCTCACCCACCCCCACAGCCTTCTTCTCCAAACACCCCAGTCCATTTGCAGAAATACCCCCACCCATTTTCCAGAAATATCTGTACACACCCCGTTCTCCCGCCCCCCAAGGCGATTTTCTTCTCCAAATACTTGCAAAAATATATGAGAAACATGCCAACCTACACACTGCTCCTTCATTAGTGTTTTTTTTAAAATATCTTTTTGTTTCTTTTTCCCCCTAATTAGCAGATTCACAAAAATAAAAATAAAAATTACTTCTATGTAAATATTCAATCCTTTTGAGAAAGATTCTCATAAATTAATTTACTAAGTAAATCTTAAAATGGTTACATTTCTAAATTTCTAAAACAATTTCTATCATTTTTCAATTGTTTGTGGTAACTGTTTTGATACACCATAGTTGGATGTTTAAGTTTCAGAAATGGTGGCTGAAAATGGAAAAGAAGAAGAGAAATTTTTTTAAAAGTCTACTTAAAAGGTTTTTCACGCGCAGTCAATGAGTGTATTACACTCAATAAGCCATGTAAGCAAAAAGTGTTAAAATGACACCGCAAGACCCTACATGAGGTGTCTAAAATGAACATCGCCCACTTGAGGTGCCTAAGTGAACCTTCGTGCCAAATTTAGGGGGCCACCGATGGGTTAGGCCTAATTTTATTGAACACTCTTACATGGTTAATATCATAACTTTTTTATATATTAATTATATATAACATAATATCAAATAAAATATACAACTAATGCAAATTTTACAACTATACCAAACAAATTATTAATATTTGTATTATTTTTACTAGGCCAAACACAGACACAATTTCTTAAATTTGTCTCTAAATTTTATTTTGACACTCTAACTCAATTTTGTTTTCATTTTAAACCTTCTAACTTCATTTTTCATATACATATAGCATTTACACATAAAATACTGACTAAGTACAAATTAGTGAGATAACTCACCTTTTAAAGTGCATTAAGGAATTCTTGTTATAGAGTAGTTAATATTCGATATTTTTTTAAATATTAACCAGTCTATTCCCCTATTTTTATTTCCTCTATTTTTTCTTCAACTCCATTTTTTCCCTTCATCTACTTTATTTAATTCATTTATTTTCTTCATCTACCTCCTTTTTTATTAACTCTCTCTTGGCTAAATATATATCTTGAGGAAAAAAAATTAGATTTATTTTATTTTTTATTTTTTATTTTTTATTTTTACTGTGTGGATATAAGTACTTTAAATAGGTTGAAACTCAGATATCAAATCAAGTCAACAATGTTACTTATGTGTTGCTAAACAAGGCAAATAAAAAAATGTCAATTTGTCTACGTGAAAGATGTTTTGGCTAGGTCTTTTCCTTGTAGAATGACCAGATATATCAAAAAATTGGGTCGAATCAAATTAAAAAATCAGACTGAATTGAATCTAACTTTAAAATAAAATGAACCAAATCTAATTACTTATCGAACCAAACTAAATATAGTAAAATGTTACCCTTTTGGTTCCAAAACTAAACATAGTAAGATGTTGTGCTTTTGGTTCCAAACTCAATTTTGTTAGCCCTTGACCCTTGTGAATGGAGTCTCTTTCATTTTGGTAGCTTCAGGAGTCAGATCTCCTCTGTTATGTATTTTGGCTCCTTGATGGATGAATGCATCCTCTTTATTAAAGATCAATGGTGAAAAATTATTATTTTTAAAAAAATTGTCAAATCATACATATAGACAAGAGAGTATAAAAGTGTCTAAAAACATTTTAAGTTGTTCAATTCTATAGGTTCAGTTTTTGACTTAAAAGTTAATTAAACCTATTTTAAAATTAGTTTTTTATTTTTGAAAGTATTTGACAAATACAAAAAATAACATAAAATAAGTTAGGAAGTGTTTGGCAAAGTCAAAACGACTTAAAATAAGTTTAAAATGACTTAGAATAAGTCAAAAACCAAAAGTAGGTCTCCCCTACTTTTTATTTTTTTACTTAAAAGTAATTTCAGTTTGACTTTTCATTTTTGACTTAAAAGCTATTTTTTTAAGTCAATCCAAACAAGACGTTTCAAAAAAAGTTTTTGTATTCGGTGCATAAAAAATTTAAGGGAAATTAAGGTTGATATGGGCAGTCATAAAAAAGAATGGAGCTATCTAATGGTATCATGACAACCGTACAAAGATGACTCATTTGCCTGGAATTAAATTGGCTCATGTACTATGATTTTTACCCATCTAATTGTGAAATATTGTTTGAAAAATGAAATGACATATATTTTGGATAAGAGCCAAGTAATATGATACCTAATTTTGCGAAATTAACACTTATTTTGAGAGAGGGAGTAAAACACTATTTATCATGTCATATTATATTATCATCCAAAGATGTAAAGTAGTGAATGAAGTTATTAATCAGAGCTCTCGAATTCGAACCCTATTTCTCCAAATGGGCCCTATCGTGATGGATGTGGCTTTTCAGAGGGCCAAGAATAGTACCGTGGTTCAATAAAACTTGCACACGTAACCCCAACTCCCAACTAATTCTCTCATTCCTTCATTAATTAATTTACTTTCTATCTATAAATACCCAAAGTTCTCACTAGCTTTTGTACCCAACACTCAAGCAAATACATTTGTAGTCCATAAAACTTCTCTAGTATTTCTATCTTTTCTCAATTTTTGTAACAATGGAAATGGTTAGCAAAATTGCATGCCTTGTTGTTTTGTGCATGATAGTGGTTGCACCCCATGCAGAGGCACTAAGCTGCGGCCAGGTTACATCTGGCTTGGCTCCTTGCCTCCCATATCTCCAGGGACGCGGCCCTCTAGGAGGGTGTTGTGGTGGAGTTAAGGGTCTGTTGGGTGCAGCCAAGACCCCAGCGGACCGAAAGACAGCATGTACTTGCCTCAAATCAGCCGCTAGTGCTATTAAAGGCATTGATGTGGGCAAAGCCGCTGGTATCCCTAGTGTTTGTGGCGTAAACATTCCTTACAAGATCAGCCCCTCCACTGACTGCTCCAAGTACGTTATTTATATTTTGTGAAATTGACGTCAATATAATATTTTTTATAGTCTCATAGTATATATGTCTAATTGATAAAATCATATCTAGTAGTAAAATTATATGGTCTAACATGTTAATTACAAAATGATGGGCATATACTCGCATTGCATACTATCAATTTGTTAATGTTTGTTTAATATGGTATTGCAGGGTCCAGTAAGGTTGAAGAAAGTTCAATTTTCCAAGGCATAATTTGATAGTAATGTAATCTAGCTTACGGAGAAAAATAAGATGGATATATCGATCGATCGAATTTAATTCGTCATTTTATATGTTCTCTTTTCTTTTGTATTTGTGTTTGTTGGAGTACATGTAATGAGCCTTGGTGGTTGGTTGTATTACAACCCAATCTTCATAGTAATATATACATGATATTCTACTTTTTTTTTCTTTCTTCATACATTTGCTTTTACTTTTATTATTGATGGTTTAAAATTATTTACGCAATCAACCAACTGAGATAGCTTGTTTACGCTAATTTTGAGTTGGTTAGAATTTGAGAAATTTCTCCGAAGTGTGAGCATATAGGTATATGTTAAATGCACAAGGAAAATTTCAGGTTATATATATTGAATCTTTCTAACAACATGATTAATATCATAATTTTCTATATCATAATACGATTGAAAAGATGTCTAATACACGAATTAAACACTCTTACATGGTTAATATCATAATTTTCTATATATTAATTATACATAACATAATATCAAATAAAATATACAAGTAATGCAAATTTTAAAACTATACCAAACAAATTATTAATATATGTATTATTTTTACTAGGCCAAACACAAACACAATTCCTTAAATTTGTCTTAAATTTTATTTTGACACTCTAATTCAATCTTGTTTCATTTTAACCCTCTAACTTCATTTTTCATATACGAGTATTATTTAAACACAAAATACTGATTAACTACAAATTAATGAGATTACTCACCTTTTAAAGCGCATAAGGGATTCTTGTAATAGTTAATATTCAATATTTTTTTATTAATTAAGAGTCTATTCCCCTATTTATTTCCTCTATTTTTTCTTCAACTCCATTTTTTCCCTTCATCTACTTTACTTAATTCATTTATTTTCTTTATCTACCTCCTTTGCTATCAACACTCTCTTGGCTAAATATATATCTTGAGGAAAAAATAATTAGATTTATTTTTTTAATTTTTACTGTGTAAATATAAGTACTTTAAATGGGTTGAAGCTCAGATTTCAAATCAAGTCAACAATGTTACTTATGCATTGCTAAACAAGGCAAGAAAAAGATGTCAAATTGTCTAGGTGAAAGATGTTTTGGCTATGTCTTCCTTATAGAATGACCATATATATCGAAAGATCGGGTCGAATCAAATTAAAAAATCAAACTGAATTGAATCGAACTTTAAAACGAAATGAACCAAATCCAATTATTTATCGAACCAAACTAAAAAAAACAGTACTAAATCGAATCAAACTTTAAAAAAATGATCACCTTGATACATATTCGGCAGACGCCATTGACAAATTAAAAATGAAAGTATCGAATCGGAGTTAAAAAAAATCTAACGGCCATCCCTAGTTCCTTTGTGCTTGGTGATATAATTCAAGTTAATGTTGATGATATTTCATTTGTGAAATAAGCTAGGTTTAAGTATAAGATTATACAAATTTTCATATACCGAATATTGAACAAATAATTGATAATAATTGAGGGTACTTTCATATCTTAAGACTAGGGAACGATTGTTGGATTGAAGAGTATGTAGGGACTTAGGGTTGGATTGGAGAAATAATTATAGTATTTTTTACCTTTTTAATATTTATTATCTAATATATGTTATTTATTTATTATTATTTTTTGTGTTTAAATGATATATTAAAAAATGGAGTTAAAGGAAGAAATAAGCTATATTGAAATGAAAGCAAATCTAAGGAGCTGTATATGTATATTGCCTTTTTTCTATTTGTTTTTTTGGTCCGATATCTACATTAAAGCTAAAGCAATTCCTAATAACAGAGACATTTTTATACCTAGAGAAATTCAAACTCGAAATCTTAATAAGTTAAAAGAAATAGTTGAACCCCAAGTCATTAAATGAAATCCGGTGTGGGTGCTTTGAGACGTCTGAGCATGGCAGTATATCCATGGTTGATTCACAATATTAGTCAGATGGCAGTACATGTGTCCATCTCTTTGTCAATTTAGGGCCCCTTTAATTTGACCTATTTGAAATTTAAATTTTATTTGAATATGTAATTTGAATTTTAATATATGTACTCCTTTAGTTTTAAAAAGAATGATCTAATTTAACTTGGAACGAAGTTTAAAAAATGAAACAAGACTTTTTAATCTTGTAATTCTAAATTAAAGTTATGTCAAATGTACCAAAGTGTCCTTTATGAAAAGTTGAAATTAAAGTGTTGCCAAAAAAGAAAATAAATCATTCCTTTTAAAACAGGAGTATTTTTTTTTTTGAAAATTAGATAAATAAAAATGATTTAGAGTGAGTCATAACTTAATTCAAAGACAAAAAACTAATTTGATGTATCATATACTAAAAGCAATATAACATTTGTTCTTTGTTTGGTTGGAGAGAAAGGCAAGGAAGGAAGTAAAATTTCTTTTCTTTCTCCTCGATCTAAATTCTAAGTGATGATATAGATACGTTAACAACACATTGAAAAGAACATTTTCTCCAAATAAAATAGAGTGTAACACTATCATAAAAATAATATTAACGGCAATAAATATATATATTAACAAAGAGTATATTAAAGTGATTTTTATCGACAACAGTTAAATGTCAGTGAATTTAATGTTACGATAGGTTTAGAAACATTTATAAAGAGTGTTCGATGCCGCTAAAATTATATATTTAACAATAATAAAATTATTATTATTAATTAATTGTTGCTAAAAATCATTTTTACGAAGCATAAGTAGATCAAATCCATAAGGACAGTGAACTTAATGCATGCCAAGAAAACGCACATCTCAAAAAGGTTTTCTTGAGATGTATTTAGATATGGGCAGTCAGAGTCCCCTCACTGAACATTGCACAAGAAAATGAATGGGCCATTATAAAATTTATAAGGTGGAAAAGGATGTAAAGTGCCCAGGTAGGTGTTATAGTGGGACGTTTTGATAAGATGTATAAGAATAATGTTTAAATAATGTATTAGTAATTTTTGTATAGGTTATGTTAATATTATTTATATACAGAAATCATTTCTTATGCATTATTTGTCTTGGTATATCAAAAATACTATGCATTTCTATTGTCCACAAATATGATGAAAAAGGTATATAATGTTTTGGGCAATTTGGTCGATAATCATGCTAATATATGCATTAAAATCCCTTGTATTTTTCATATATTTGTAAAACACGCCTCTATACATAATAAGTTGAAAAGTTGTAAGCAAGCAAGGTATATACTACTAATTAATACAGAAAGATAATAAATACAATATTTCTTCTAATATATTCCACCAAACGACTCATTATTACCTACTTTTGGGGAGATATCCATTCAAATTTTACCACTACTACATCAGTTCACTTGCACTTGTCTATTTTGGATATTGCACATCCCTAAATTAACAATAATTTATATGAATATTTTATTATAAATAATTTTATGTCTAAAAAAATTATTTAGAGAATATATAAGTAATTAATAATATGAAAATAAAAATCTTAATATATGAAACGTGAAAAGTAAAATGAATATATTCTTTTAGTATAACGAACAGATAAAATTGAACGGAGGTGGAAATATTTATAGTCATATACTGAAAAATAGGTTACCAAGGGCCCTAAATCATATATAGCGTGATTCAATAAAAATTAGTCACGTAACTACTAAACTTGACTTTATAGGCACCTCCCTAATTATTATACATATTTGATTTAACTCAACTCTCAACTAATTCTCTCAATATTCCTCCATTAATTAATTTACTCTCTATAAATACTCAACGTTCTCACTAGCTTTTGCACCAAACACTCAAAACAAATACATTTGTAGTACTATATCATTCTCTACTATATATTTCTATCGATCTTTACTTAATTTTTGTAACAATGGAAATGTTTGGCAAAATTGCATGCTTTGTGCTTTTGTGCATGGTGGTGGTTGCACCCCATGCAGAGGCATTGAGTTGCGGCCAGGTTACGTCTGGCTTGGCTCCATGCCTCCCTTATCTTCAGGGTCGCGGCCCTATTGGAGGGTGTTGTGGTGGTATTAAGGGTCTGTTGGGTGCAGCCAAGACCCCAGCGGATCGAAAGACAGCATGTACTTGCCTCAAATCAGCCGCTAGTGCTATTAAAGGCATTAACGTGGGCAAAGCCGCTGGTATCCCTAGAGTTTGTGGCGTAAACATTCCTTACAAGATCAGCCCCTCCACTGACTGCTCCAAGTACGTTATTTATATTTTGTGAAATTGACGTCAATATAATATATTTTTTATAGTCTCATAGTATATATGTCTATTGATAAAATCATATGTCTAGTAGATAAATTATATGGTCTAACATATTACAAAATGATGTGTACTCGCATCGCATAATGTTGATTTAATATGGTATTTTGCAGGGTCCAGTAAGGTTGATGAAAGCTCAATTTTCCAAAGGCATAGTTTGGTAGTAACGTAATCTAGCTTGCGGAGTAAAATAAGATGGATATATTGATCGATCGAGTTTAATCCATCATTTTATATGTTGTCTCTTTTCTTTTGTATTTGTATTTGTTGGAGTACTTATATATAGTCGAGTACATGTAATGAACCTTGGTGATTGGTTGTATTACAACCCAATCTTCATAGTAATATATACATGATATTCTACTTTTTTTCTTTCTTCATACATTTGCTTTTACTTTTATTATCGATGGTTTAAAATTATTTACACAATCAACCAACTGGAGATAACTTATTTACACTAAATAAATTTTGAGTTGGTTAGAATTTGACAAATATCACCAAAGTGTGAGCATATAGGTATATGTAATTAAATGCACAAGGAAAATTTCAGGTTATATATATTGAATCTTTCTAACAACATGCAAAATGTTGGATGAGTGGTCCAAAGTCATTCAAACTCCAACATTCAAGGTTTCACTCGATATTTGGTATTTATATTGGTATCTAATCAAATTTGAATTTTATTAGCTGGAAAGCCCCATATTATAATGAGGTAAAAGAATTTGT